GACTTATATTTTTTGAACCCTGAAATAAGCGCTTGGCCTTATTGCCATGCGCTCCAAAGCCCGATTGGGTTTATTATCAGGGGATGTCTTATTTTGGGGAAAACAGGGTAGCTAGTTTTAGAAAATACACTTTTCCCAACAGGTTTCCACCATTTTGGCCACTACTGTAAGCCCATCCACCTTGTTGCTGTTCTTCTTTTCCTTCTCTTTCAATCCAACAGTTCTGCCCCAGCTCCGGATTCCTAAGGATTATGACACACACCAACGGTCCTTTTCAAAGTTATAATGTACCAAGAATAAACCAAGTCCGGCAAAGGTTGGCAACCAGCCCAGATATTCTGTCCCCATCTCACACACGCACACAAACAGTCAGGTTAAATAAAACTTGCAGACAATAAATTCCTTCGATAACAGGATTGGCAGCAACCCAGTAGCTGCTTGCCAAGAACTTTACTCACAGAGGGAGGTGTTCCTCCTCCATCAGATAAACCAAAACAAATACACAAAGCCACAGAATTGTCAAGTCCAGTCCATATTAAATCCAAGGCAGGCAGATAGCGTAGTTTCAGAGATACAATGCGACTCACTAGTTGTTTAGTTTTGTTCGTCACAGAGCCTGAATGGCCACCACACCCCCTTTTATCCCCTGTGAGGTGTGGTCCAGTGACTCAGCTTAATCTCTGGCACGTCTCCTTTTCTGCTGTGTGCGCTTGTCTCTCCAACGCTGGCGTGAATCCAGCCAAGACTTATCTCCGTCACTGTCCGACTGCGACTGCTCGGCGATACCTGGCTCCTGGCCAATCTCTTCTCCTTCGGGAGACACCTGAGGCATTGCCAGAGAGGAGGATCCTGGAGAGGGAGGCCTGGCCAACTCCTCTCCTTCACTTTCGGAGCCTTCTCCCTCCGATAAGACGGGCTCGGGGGTCGGAGTCACAACACCAGAAAACAAGATACGATAAGACACTCACTCTCCAAAATGCTCTGTAATAATTACACGTAGTTTCCAGCAAGAAATTACTAACTGCGTTCGACTTAAATAGGCTAAGGGGGTGGCCAATTATCGTCAAACCTTACTCTCAAGGAGACCTCCTCCTCCTGAGTAGCCACTCCTGCCTTTTGGCAGCCCTGCATGCTTGAACATTGAGGAGAGGCTCCTCCACTTCTCTCTCTCCACTTGAAGAAGCCTCTGGAGGTTCTGAAGGCCCTGGCTGAGTCTCTGCCTCTGGCACCACATCCTCTTCAGCCTCCTCGCTGTCCGACTCGAGCGCCGGCTGCACAGGCTGCTAACGCGACCCCACACCAGCCTCCTCGTCATCGGGATCAGCCACGATCCACGCAGGCCGCTGGCGGGCCACAACACCAACTTTGTCTTCTGAACATAGTGCACTTTAAAAAAAAAAAACAACCCCTGTTCAGAGCTGCTATATTGATTTTTTTACACATCCACACACAGCATCCTGGAAAAGGGTGGTGAATATCCTTGTGAAGACAAATATTCCCGTTTGCTGATTGTTCCTTGTTACTTCCACTAATACGTTGTTTCTCAACATTAGACTTTGTATTGCAATACTGTTCATCTTCACATCTGGCATTAGTGACATTTTAACTATCAGGTGTATACACCTTAGCTCACAATTGCAGTTCACAGCTTATCCTACATTTCCAAATCACTTCGTAGAAAATAATTCTTTGCTGTGGGTAGTTTTTCCTACTGCAATTAATCTTCAGTTTTAGTGACTGGGAAGGATCATTTGAGTTAACCTGTTTCACACGAAACCGGTGATGGTTTTGGACAAAGAGGTGTCTGTTACCTTCCCACCAAAGGTGGTCCCTATTTTTCTATTTGCATTTTTTACGGGCTTTCAAACTGCTAGGTTGGCAGAAGCTGGGAAAAGTAACAGGAGCTCACCCCGTCATGCGGCACTAGGGATTCAAACTGCTGAACTGCCGACCTTTCGATGCAAATTCTCCCAGCCATCTCCATATTTTACCCTTCTTAACTTTAATTTTCTGTCAATACATGTAGTTTCCTCTCATCTCCATTCATTTGTAAAGTTTCCCTTGTGAGGTGATATCCCTTGAAATTGGGGACTGGCCCTTTAATAAACATATGAATTAACTGGGCACGAGGCCACCATGTAATTGGGCTGGAGATTCATCTGTCCTCCCTTGCATGATTCAGGAATTTCTTCGAACCAGAAGCTCCCAGCTATCCTATGATGTGTGCCACCTGCATATTATGGTTTTACTGAATTATTCAGTGGGTAGTAACAAATTAAAATAAACTGCAACCCTGTCTAAATCTGAACATAACACCAGTGAACTCCTGTTTCGGCCACACCTTTCATGGGTATCCAATTGGGATGGACACCACACAAACTGGTTAATCTGGTTTTGATTTAGGACTTTGAATAGACCATCTTTTTTTTTATTTTTATTTATTTAAAAATACAGACAAAACAAAACAAAACAACAAAACATAGAAAACGTGTAAACATGTAAACAAGAATTCAAATATACAGTACATCTTATCCAATTTGTCACAACTGTATTATCTCTTCTTATTTGTGCTTTTGACTCCTCCTTGTTGGTCTTTCTCTTATATCTATCTTTGTAATTCACTGTTAACCTGCATTAGTAGTGTATGTTCCTATTTTTATATTAGGTCATTCCACTTATTTCCTAATCTTTTTTCCCTTTTCTATCTTCCAACCATGTGTACCACTTTTCCCATACTAGATAGTAGTCGTGTTCTTCTTTATCTTGTAGTTCCTTTGTGAGTCTGTCCATTTCTGCACATTCCATGATTTTACTAATTACTTTATCTTCTGTTGGTATGTCACTACTCTTCCAATTTTGTGCAAAAATTATTCGTGCTGCTGTTGTTATATGAATGATTAAGTATTTTATTTCCTTTTCATATTGTCCATTTATTATGCCTAGTAGAAAGGTTTCTGGCCTCATTTCTATTCTTTGTTGTGCAATTTCTTCTATTTGTGTTCTGATCGTTTGCCAGTATTGTTTTGCCTTTGGGCAGGTCCACCACATGTGATAATAGGTTCCTTTGTGAAGTTTACATTTCCAGCATGTTGGAGGAGTATTGGGGAACATTCTTGCCAGTCCAAGACCATCTTTTAAGTAAGGGGTGTCAAACTCATTGAGGGCCGCATCAGGGTTGTGTTTGACTTTTGGGGTGGGGATGGGGGAAGCCAACTCGATGTCACTCATGTCGGGGGCGCCTGTGGTGGCCCAAGCACTCTACCAGTGAAAATGGGCTCCCGAGCTCTGTTTTCGGTTGCGGCGGCCTCCTGCAACCTTCTGCCAGCAAAAATGGAGCTTGGGAGGCCCAAGGGCGGCCCTCACAAGCTCTGTTTTTGGCTGTGACGGCCTCCTGCAATCTTCTGCCAGCGAAAACTGTTTTTGCTGGCAGAGGCACACCGGGCCGGTTCTTTGCTGTTTCCAGGGTGATCCCACGGGCCAGATCTAAGCCACCCCAGGGGCCTGATCCAGCCCCCGGCCCTTGAGTTTGACACTCTTGTTCTAGGTTCTAAACACAATTCAGCTAGCAGATAGTCATTACGAATAGAATTAAAGGGCTGCAAGGGACTTGGAGATCTTCTAGTCCAATCCCCTGCCCAAGACAGAAGTCCTTATTCCATCCTGGACAAACAGTGTTGGACATAGTTGACTCATACTTAAGCCATGGTCCACCAGAATATCTAGATCTCTTTTACATTCATCATTCTTTAGCCAGGTGCTACCTATTCCCACGGCTGTCATAACGCATGGGCCTGATCGGCATTTGCCCGTGGGCCCCACGAGCGTAGGGGCCCCATATTAATCTGTGTATGTTAACCCTTCAATGCACCTTCTATCAGGGGTGAAATCCAGCATGTTCTGACAGGTTCTGGAGAACCAGTAGTGGAAATTTTGAGTAGTTCCGAGAACTGGTAGCGGAAATTTTGAGTAGTTCAGAGAATCGGCAAATACCACCTCTGGCTGGTCCCAGAGTGGGGTGGGAATGGAGATTTTGTAATATCCTTTTTTTTTTAATTTGATTTATATGCCGCCCTTCTCCGGAGACTCAGGGCGGCTTACAGTGCGCTAAGCAATAGCCTTCATCCTTTTGTATATTTATACAAAGTCAGCTTATTGCCCCCATAACTGGGTCCTCAATTTACCTACCTTAGAAAGGATGGAAGGCTGAGTCAACCTTGAGCCTGGCGAGATTCGAACCTGCAGTAATTGCAGGCAGCTGGTCTTAATAACAGGGTGCTTTAGACCACTTTACTACCAAGGCTCTTCACATATTTTTCATATCTTCTTCATATCCTTCCCCCAGGAGTGGGGAGGGAATGAGGATTTTGTAGTATCCTTCCCTTAGAGTGGGGTGGGAATGGAGATTTTGCAGTATCCTTCCCCTGGAGTGGGGTGGGAATGGAGATTTTGCAGCATCCTTCCCCTGCCATGCCCACCAAGCCATGCCCACCGAGCCATGCCCACAGAACTGGTAGTAAAAAAAATTGAATTTCAGCACTGCCTTGTATCATATAAATACAGCAACCGTCTGGCTTACTGAGTAGTTTTATATTTTTCAAGCCTTGTGTATTGCTCAAATGTTTATCATGTTGATTAGTTGTTGCTGCACAGCACATTTTTAATGTTTCAACACCAATTTTGTTGGAAGGGCCAATAAAACATAAATATGTTTAATTTTATTGACCATTTACATTTCTATTCCTGTGAGGGGAATAGAAATGGGCCCCAGTACACTGCTTTGCCCAGGGCCAGTGGTGGGTTGCCCCCGGTTCGGACCGGTTCTATAGAACCGGTAGTAAAAACGGTGGTAGGCTCCGCCCACTGACCCCGACATCATCAGGAAGCCTCTGCACATGCGCGCACGTGGCCCCATTCTGAACCGGTAGTAAAGGTAAGTAGAACCCATCTCGGCTCTGTCTGTCATCCAGGCCGTGGCCGTCAAAAATCACCAGGAAACGATGTCAAGCAACAATTGTTTAATCGGAGTCTAGCAGCAACACAGCAAGAAGAACAGAACGAGCCGGATCACGGGGTTTAAGTCAGCGCTGCACGCAACCGCCGCGCAGCGCTATTTATTTCCTCCCCGGCTCCTAAACTACCATCCGGCATTCAAAAGTCAAAATTCCCCCTCCCCACATCAGCTGTTGAGCGCTGTGACGATCCCGACGGCGCAGCCACAACGTCATAGGCCGGTAGTTCTCGGAAGGCTGTGTCGCTTCGGCTGCTGGCTGCTGCATGGAGCCGTCCCCACCATCATAGGTAGTCAGGTGGGCGCTCCAACCAGTCCCAGGTCCCCAGCGATGGTGAGTCCTGGCCGGGGTTCGACAACCCACCCCTGCCCGGGGCCCATAACGCCGTTAAGATGGCCCTGCCTATTCCATACCTATACATTTGGTTCTTTCTACCTGAGTGCAGGATCTTAGTTTTCTCATCACTGAACTGCATCTTGCTGGATACTGCCCAATGATTGAGTCTGTCAAGAACCTCCATTAAAGCTTTGACCCAGCATGACGTTAATCTGGGCCCTTCCTCTGTTTTATTTAATCTTTTTTTAATTTTACATAAGGGACCGGGGAAGACCCACCTAACAACTCTGAATACATTCTGTTAGCAGAGACATAGATGTTTGAAATTGTTAAGAAATGACTCAATTTGTTAAAGATTCTTGTCAACTTATTAAAAGAACCTTTTGAGCTATTCCACATTGCATATCAAATCCTGGTTTATGCTGAGGCAGCCTGGAGGAAGGAATTCTTTGAAATGAAGTTTGTTCCTTGTACTGTAATTAGAGTTGACTTTTTTTTCCTGACTTCTCAGAACTACCATACTTTTCGGAGTATAAGACGCACTTTCCCCCGCTCCATAAGAGAGTGGAAATATTGGTGCGTCTTATACACTGAATATAACCTCCTGAAATATAGCCTCCTGAAACTCCACCCCGCATGTCCTGTTTTTGCCAAAAAAAAGGCCTATTTTTTTTGCAAAAATGAAATGCGCAGAGAGTTTGGGAGGCCTGCAGAGTGCTCCTGGTGGCTGGGGAGGGCAAAAACTGGATGCACGGAGGCCAAAACCCATTTTTTCCCCTTGTCTTCCTCTTCGAAATCTTGGTGCATCTTATACGCCGGTGCTTCTTATAGTCTGAAAAATATGGTATATAACCACTTTTGTGAGTTGAGGAACAGAAGGAAAACAAACACCAGCTCTTCAAAATTGGCTAATATTCTTTTATGTATCAGGATGAATGCTTAAAAATTGACTTCTGAATCATAGGACAATACATACTGCGTGGAAAGGTTCTGCAATTATGTAGCCAAGAGTAAATTGGAGAAGGAAGGAAGGAAGAGAGAGATTGTCGCAATGCATATTATTTATGAGTCTGAGTCATAAATAATTAATTTTATTTATTAAAATAAATAATTCCTGAGTCCCTTAGGAATAGGGCGGTATATAAATTTAATAAATAAATAAATAAATAAATTTAATTCCAATTATCCAAATGAAATAAATAATAGCAACCCTCAGCTGCATTTTATTCAGGCACTCCTTCCCTAAAACTACCTGGGTGTCATTAATCAAAGCAACTCTTTATTAGACTGCCTCGTGCTTTGCCAAATTTAGCCGAACAGGCAAAGTTATCCTTTCACTCTGTCATCAGATTCAGTTTGAGCTATTGTATTTGTAAAGTTTCCATTTTAATTTGGAACTTCATTGGTTTCACAAGGTCTTCATTCACGAGGCCAATAGACTTCCAGAGTCCACGTCCCTTAGCCAGGGTGAATTAAAAAGCAATGATAAAAAAAAAAAAAATCAAGAAAAATCGGATTTTTAAAATTTAAATCGGATTTTTTTTGGGAGGGGGGTTATCAAATTTATTTTAATAAAATGCTTTTGCAGTAAAAAAAATCTATCTAAAGATAGTTTTCTATTTAAGATACATTAATAATTTAGTTTATTCAGCGTTAAATGGAGCTCAGTTATGTAGCATGAGCAGTAGTCGGATTCAAATAATTTAACAATAAGCATGTTGCTCCCCCCCCCGGTGCCCCGTTTTGGGCCTAGTAGGGCTCCCTGCAGCCTCCTAGGAGCAAAAATGGGCCCCTGGGAGGCCACACCGCAACCCTCATGCCCCATTTTGGGCCTAGTAGGCCTCCCTGCACTTACCTGGAGCCAAAAAGGGGCACGTGGGGAAGAGGTGCGGAAGGGAGGGGCCAGCCAGTAATTTAACAACCGGTTCACCTGAAGTGGCCCGAACCGGCTGAATCCCACCACTGACATGAGGCTATATATTCTGCCATATTGGGACTGTCACAGGGGTGAAATGCTACCAGTTCGCTCCAGTTCAGGAGAACTGGTATTGATAAAAACTACTGATTTGGGTGAACCGGTAGTAAAAAAAAAAAAGCTAAAAAAAAAAGAAATCCTGCTTTCTAGCTAAGCTAAATCGCATGCCACAGCTGATCCCCCCCCCCGTCGCTTCTACTTACCTTCCCAAGCCTCCTTTTGGTGTGCACTACGCATGCTGCACGCATTTGGTGCATGGTGCGCATTCGGTGCACGGTGCACATTTGGTGCGCAGCGCACATGCGCGGCCAGCAAACCGGTTTGGATTTCACCACTGGACTGTCGGTGAGTCAACATCAGGTGAGAGGAGGAGCCGCTGCGGGACAGAGATGACAGCTGCTCTTTAAAAATTATGATTTCAGTCGAGTTGATTTAAATCAAGCCTTTTTACTAATGATTTAAATCATGATTTAAATCGACTCGATTTAAATCAAATCCTTCCTGTCTCTTATGCACTCCCTTTCATTCTTTTCTGCACGTGCTTTTATTTCCCTTCCATGAACCCACATGTATTTATTTATTTCTCATCCTTGTTATTCTTACAAATGACTCAAGCCTCAGAACATATCCAAACACACCTTCCTCCTCCTATTTTCCCCACCACAACAACTCTTTTGAGGTAGGCTGGGCCGAGAGGGACCAACCCAAAATCACCCAGCTGGGTTTTCATGGCTAAGGAGGGACTTGAACTCATGGTCTCCCAGTTTATAGAGTGACGGTGCCTTAACCGCTAGTCCTAACTGGCTCTCCTGAAATAATCGGATGTTATTTTTTGTTCTTGTGGTGGTTGTGGTGATGATAGGATGTTTTCTATTTTAATTAGTGTATACGGATGTCAACACTGCAAACATTTCCTCATTTTTTTATTAATAATAATTGCAACTTTCTGGTTGCAATCCTAATTTCATCTGGTATCCTAGGATGGTCAGACATAGCCCAGAATCTTGGATTGATACAAAAGATATTGGCCAGTTACAGAGTCATGACTGAGGGGATAAATTGGATGGGAAGTCCACCACAGCGAAGAAGGAATTTAATTCGTTTTCTTCTATCATTTTTTTTTCCAATCTAAGAGAGAACTTAATGATATAAGCTAATTTTTATGGAAGAGGAGAGGCGAGAAGACAAAGAGAAGAGAAATGATTTCTTAACCATATGGGTATATCTTTTTTAACCAATAGCCTTCAAAAGTCTGAAATAGGGACCTCCTCATAGCATCTTTTTTTTTTATTGAAAAAGTTTTACAAATACAATTTTTCCCATTTCCCCGCCCCTTCCCTCCCTAGCCCTCCCTAGCCCTCCCCTCCTCCCATGACTTCCCCAAAGTGAAATCCGTCCACATTATATTATATCATACTTTACCACCCTTCTATTCTCCCCCCTGTGTACTATACATTTCTACATAACAATAAACTATTTTACCCCCTATATACTATACATTTCTACACAACATTCAGCTAAAAGCTATCTGGTACTTCCTAGTTTGATATTTATTCTGCACATAATCTATCCATTTCTTCCACTCCCATGCATAAGTCTCTTGAGTCCGGTCTTTTAGGTATGCTGATATCTTTGCCATTTCTGCAAAACTGGCCACCTTCAAGGTCCATTCTTCAATTGTAGGCATAACATCCCTTTTCCAATATTGACCAATCAATAACCTAGCTGCTGTCACCATATACAATATCAATTTTGTTTCACCCACTGAAAAGCCCTTAACTATACCCAGTAAAAACAATTGAGGAGAAAATTGGATTTTTTTCTTTTGAACATTTTGCATAACCCACCAAATTTTTATCCAGAAAGCCTTCACTTTCTTGCAGGTCCACCATATATGATAATATGTAGCATCTAAGCAATCACATCTCCAACATTTTGGTTGAACATAGCATCTTGAACACCCTTCTCATTTTTATTTTTTTTTAAATTTGATTTATATGCCGCCCTTCTCCGGAGACTCAGGGCGGCTTACAATGCGTTAAGCAATAGCCTTCATCCTTTTTGCATATTTATACAAAGTCAGCTTATTGCCCCCACAAACTGGGTCCTCATTTTACCTACCTTTGAAAGGATGGAAGGCTGAGTCAACCTTGAGCCTTGGCGAGATTCGAACCTGCAGTAATTGCAGGCAGCTGGTCTTAATAACCAGCTTAATAACAGGGTGCCTTAGACCACTGTACTACCAAGGCTCATTTGAGCTGCCTGAGTACAGGGGTGAAATCTACTTACCTTCCTTACCGTTTTGGAAGTGCACGCACTGCGTGTGCACACTAGCTTCGCTCACACACACGCACATGTCACAAAACCTTCTGCGCACACGCAGAGGGTAAAAAACCAGGAAGTAACAACACCTGGGCGGGTGGGCGGACCCTTACACCGCCATCGCTACCGGTTCTCCGAACCACCTGCCACAATCTCTACCAGATCGCCCGTTCCGGTTCGAACCGGGAGCATTTCACCCCTGGGCCAGTTATTCTTTTTTAGCCCACTAGGAAGAAGGAGACTAAATATATACCATTCTGAGTTTCTGGAGGAAAAGATAAAAAATGTAAATGAGTCCCTGCAGATTTTACTCCTCTAGTCATTGGCAACTCTAGGGGGTGTTGCTCATCTCTATTTCAAGGCCATTGAGCCAGCTCTGACCCAAGATATTTCCATAGTCAGCATGACATCAAGGAATGCTGTTACCTTCCCACCAAAGTGGTACCTATTTATCTACTCGCATTTGCATGCTTTCAAGCTGCTAGGTTGGCAGGAGCTGGAGCGAGGACGGGAGCTCACCCTGTCGCGTGGCGCCTGGATCTCGAACCTGGGCTGCCGGCTTTTCAGCTGACAAGCCCAGCGTCTTATCCGCTGAGTGACCATGCTGCCATTTGGAGAAAAAACAAAATATGAATCTAATGAAAGAAATGTATCATCCACAGGGTGTGGTTATAAAAAAAAATGATACCCAAGTTGGTAGCTATGGGCATGTCATCAATGCCCCATCACTGGGCAGAGTTTTCAGTCCACAACCAGTGAGGTGGGTTGCTCCCGGTTTGGTCCGGTTTGGCCGAGCCGGTAGCGGTGACGATATGACATCACCGAACCGGTTCTCCCCCCCGCCCTCCCACCCCCCACCCACCCACGTTATTCTTACCTTTTATTTGGTCCCTCCCCCAATCTATTGCTGCCTCCTGAGTCCCAGCTGATGACTAGAGGGAAAAAAACTGTTTAAACTGTTGCCGCGGGGCTTCAAAGGGCCGTCCTACAGCTGATCAGTGTTAAAAGCAAACAAATGAGTCGGGTCGTAAGTGCGAGGACTGGTTGTAAGTGCGAGAACCTTCCAGAAATGACTCTGACCAGCTAGCCACGCCCACCTAGTCACATGACCTCCAAGCCACACCCACAAAATAAGCCACGCCCACAGAACCGGTAGTAAACAAATTTAGAACCCATCCCTGTCCACAACAGTGGTTGCTCTCTTGGATTTTTGGACCCTAACCCTGTGGCCACCCCCATGGTGAACAAATCTAACAAACAAGGGATCTAAACGGACAAAACTCACAATTCTATCACCTTCTGAAATTTATGTTTATAAATTTATCCGGAAGCAAACCGTGAGGCTAAATTAGGCAAACATTTCATCAGTTTCACAGGACAATGCCTGACGATCTGAACTAGATATGATACAATCTAGGCTACGTGTGACATCTGATCCAAGGTGGAGAAAGATCAGTTGGGTGGAGATGAATATTTCAGCCACTAGTATGGGTTCCAGAATGCAGATTTGGTCATGTTGAGCTTGTATGGAGACATTCTGTGCTTGCCCCTGATGAGTAGCAATGGTAAATCACACGTAGGATGATTGAAGTATAGACAGTCATTACGCAATGAAACTTGATGGAGTCTTGTTGTTAGACTCCTGGTTCAACAAGTAACAGTGTGTAAACAGTGAGCCAGCAGGGCATGGACAAAGTGTCCTTTTTTTGGGGGGGGGATTAATTAGGAGGCGCTGTTCTGACCTAGGCTTCCCAAAAGCACGAAACAGACTCTTTGTCCCGACAAAACCTCTCTTTATTAAGCTAATGTGAATTTGTTGTGACCCAGGCCCATACCGCCACATGCCAGTTGGCAACTGTCCAAAATTTGATTCCCTGGGGATGCTGCAAGGGTTATAAGTGTGAGGACGGGCCATAAGTCATTTTTTCCCCAATGCTGTTATAACTTCAAATGGTCACTAAACGAATGGTTGTGAGTTGAGGACTGCCTGTATTCCAATAAAGCACAACCCCATCATGAAAACGATATAAGAAAGTTGTGGAGACTCTAGAAAGAGTGCAGAGAAGAGCAACAAAGATGATTAGGGGACCAGAGGCTAAAACATATGAACTGGGTATGTCTAGTTTGATGAAGAGAAGGACTATGAGTGACATGATAGTAGTGTTCCAATATCTCAGGGGTTGCCACAAACAAGAAGGAGTCAAGCTATTCTCCAAAGCACCAGAGGGCAGGTCAAGAAGCAATGGATGGAAACTGGTCAAGGAGAGAAGCAATTTAGAACTAGAAATTTCCGGACAGTGAGAACAATTAATCTCATTATCACACTGGAACAACAATTAATCTCACTGTCACACTGGAACAACTTGCCTCCAGAAGTTGTCAATGCGCCAACACAGGAAGTTTTTAAAATGTTGGATAACCATTTGTCTGAAATGATGTAGGGTTTCCTGCCTAAGCAGGGGGTTGGACTAGAAGACCTCCAAGGTCCCTTCCAACTCTGTTAGTCTAAAGAAAGTACAATCTCGAATGGCCCTAACATGTGGCTAAAACAGAAAAGAAAACGGAATAAACTGTAGTGAGCAGGTAGAGAGCTAATATTTGGTTTTGTTTTCTGGGTGAATGGAAATTCAACTGCAGTTCTCTTAGGATAACAGCTGACGGATGGGAAGATGCCAAAGATATCCAAGAATGTGGCATGCTTTAGAAATCTCTCCGGGCCTCCAGTTTCAACTGGATAAAAACCTTTTTATTAGGTTACTAGCTGGATACCGGTGCTTCGCTACTTATGACCATTTTTCGCACTTATGACCATTGTAGCATCCCCATGGTTTTGATCAACTCTCATGGTCATCATCACAAACGAAGCATATCTGGAGAAATGAAGGTTGCTGCTGAGGCCCCGCCATGATACTCCCTATCCCGTGGTAGACCTGCCCCTACACTTTGAATGTTGGCATAAAATGTCCCTCCTTCACCTCTCTGGCTCCAAAAGACGCCATTTGGAAGTGTCCGTTGTACTTCCGGGCAGCAGAAAGAGAGTCTTTTCCCTTTAACTGGTGTTACAGTAGAAGGGACAGATTCTTCTGAACGGAGGAGGTCAGTGTAAGAAGTGAGTTGGGGCTGGGACACTATGCAGGAGAAATTCGGTTCAGAATCCGTTGGCTCACTGGTGGTCGGTGATTGAAACTCCTAATGGAGTATCTCTCCCGTCACTTTGAGTCCGGAAGGAGTTCCATAGGTGGAAGGTGTAGACATTTTGGTGAGGTAGCAATGTTTAGTACTGTAAGGAGCCCCAGACCTCTCCTGAGTGAAGGAGTCGAACGTCTCCTTCCAGCTTGACCTGAGGTAACGGAATGTGAGGCAAGTGGCAGTTGGAACTTTTCAGGTTGGGAGTGAGAGTAGAACGTCTAACTCCTTAGCGTCATAGCGTGTTAATATACTGCATATGTTTTATTTGATTTTAATTATTTATTTGCCAAACACGTTTAAGGTAACAGATATAAGTATAAACATGATTATGAATACAGGATAAGGATATGAATAAATGGGGACAGTAGGACAGGGATGGTAGGCACGTTGGTGCACTTATGCACACCCCTTACAGACCTCTTAGGAATGGGGTGAGGTCCACAGTCTAAGGTTAAATGGGGTGAGGTCCACAGTCTAAGGTTAAAGTTTTGAGGGTTTGGGGGGGGTACAACAACAGTCAGGTAGTGCATTCCAGACATTGACCACTCTGTTGCTGAAGTCGTATTTTCTGCAATTGAGTTTGGAGAGGTTTACCTTAAATTTGTTTCTATCGTGTGCTTGTGTTTTTTTTTTTTTTAATTTGATTTATATGCCGCCCTTCTCCGAAGACTCAGGGCGGCTTACAATGTGCTCAGCAATAGCCTTCATCCTTTTGTATATTTATACAAAGTCAGCTTATTGCCCCCACAACTGGGTCCTCAATTTACCTACCTTAGAAAGGATGGAAGGCTGAGTCAACCTTGAGCCTTGGCGAGATTCGAACCCTGCAGTAATTGCAGGCAGCTGGTCTTAATAACCAACTTAATAACAGGGTGCCTTAAACCCCTGTACTACCAAGGCTCGTGTTGAAGCTGAAGTAGTCATTGACAGGTAGGACGTTGTAGCAGATAATTTTGTGTACTACGCCAGTGGTGGGTTGCCCCGCCCACTGACCCCGATGTCACCAAAATGCTTCTGTGCATGCACAGAAGAGCGCGTGCACGAGCAAAGCATTGCGCACATGGCCCCGCGGCCAACCGGTAGTAAAGGTAAGTAGGACCCACCCCTGTACTACGCTTAGGTCAAACCGAAGGCGGAATAGTTCTAAGTTATTTCATCTGCCCACAGCCTGGAGTTCAATCCTGACCGGCTCAAGGTTGACTCAGCCTTCCATCCTTCCGAGGTCAGTAAAATGAGGACCCAGATTATTGGCGGCAATATGCTGACTCTGTAAACCACTTAGAGAGGGCGGTAAAGCACTGTGAAGTGGTATATAAGTGCTGTTGCTACTCCCTTCCTTCCTTCTCTCCCTCCCTCCCTCCCTCCCTCTCATTCTCCTTCTTGGTGGTACAGTGGTTAGAATGTGGTATTGTGAGCAAAGTCTGCCTGCAGCCTGGAGTTCAATCCTGACTGGCTCAAGGTTGACTCAGCCTTCCATCCTTCCGAGGTTGGTAAAATGAGGACCCAGATTGCTGGGGGAAAGATGCTAACTCTGTAAACTGCTTAGAGAGGGCTATAAAGCACTGTGAAGCAGTATATAAGTCTAAGTGCTATTGGTCTTCCTTCCTTCCTTCCTTTCTTCATACCGTCCTCCCTCCCTTCCTCCCTTCCTCCCTCCCTTCCTCTTATTCCCTTTCTCATTCTTCTTCCTGGTGGCACAGTGAGTATTGCAGGCTGACTCTGCCCAGAGCCTGGAGTTCGATCCTGACGGGCTCAAGGTTGACTCAGCTTTCCATCCTTCCGAGGTCGGTAAAATGAGGACCCAGATTGCTGGGGGAAAGATGCTAACTCTGTAAACTGCTTAGAGAGAGCTGTAAAGCACTGTGAAACAGTCTATTGCTTTCTAAGCCATGCAAGCGCAGTGCTTAGAATGTAGCATTGAAAGCTAACTCTGCCCACAGCCAAGACTTCAATCCTGACTGGGTCAAGGTTGACTCAGCCTTTGGTCCTTCTGAGGTCGGTAAAATGAGGATCCAGATTGTTGGGGGCAATAAGCTGACTCTGTAAACTGCTTAGACAGGACTATAAAGCACTGTGAAGCGGTATATAAGTGCTATTGTTACTTCCTTCCTTCCTTCCTTCCTTCCTTCCTTCCTTCCTTCCTTCCTTCTCTCCCTCCCTCCCTCTCTCCCCTTCATTCTCCTTCTTGGTGGTACACTGGTTAGAATGTGGCATTGCAGGCAAAGTCTGCCCGCAGCCTGGAGTTCAATCCTGACCGGCTCAAGGTTGACTCAGCCTTCCATCCTTCTGAGGTCAGTAAAATGAGGACCCAGATTGTTGGGGGGCAATATGCTGACATTGTAAACTACTTAGAAAGGGCTGTAAAGCAGTGTGAAGCGGTATATAAGTAAGTGCTACTGTACTTCCCCAAAAATAAAACCTAGCATGATTTTTCAGGATGCTCATAATGTAAGCCCTACCCAAAAAATAAGCCCCAGTTAAGATCGTCAGCCAGACCGATGCATTTAGTATTGTATTTCCCTGAAAATAAGACCTAACCGGGAAAATAAGCTGTAATGCATCTTTTGGAGCAAACAAATAATATAAGACCCAGTCTTATTTGGGGTGGGGGGAAATACACTATTGCTATTATTATAGCTATATTGCTATAGCTGTCTGAAAAATCAGGTTAAGGACAGGTTCTCATAGAGTAGATCTACCTGTGTGTTCGCTGATTACTTGATGACACGTAATCCATCAAGCCACTCTTATTATTTTTTTTGTAACTTCTTTGATTGTGTTTGTTTCATCAACAGCTAACATTAATCATGCACTGTATTTTTTTCCACGTTGCTTTGAGTTGAATGTCGTAAGTCCCTTGGAGAATGATCTCTACTCTAAGGTTAGGGTCGGAACTCCCTTACTCAATATCCACCCACCTGCTCTAGTTTCATGGGACCATCAATCATTCCATGGCAAGAATGGCGTTAGGCTAATCAACTTAATGAGGAGTGCTAGAGGCGGGGCAGTTTAATTCTCTATTAAGGAATTAGAACAGTATATTAAGCTCCAGCCAGTCGCTGGGAATTCCTCCCTGCTCGAGTCGAGAGAGACTTCTCGGGAGACCATCCAAGGTCCTGAGTTTTCCCTCTGCAATGTTTACATAGGTGAGTGAGTTTGGGGTAGATAAGAAAGCAGAACTTTTCAGGAAAAAATAGCTAGAAGGAAGCTTGGCTGGGAAGCTCTCGACGTGAGTGCGGCCGCGCGGGTGGTTATGGGAGCGACGTGGTGCTCCCATGTAACACCTCTCCTGCGCGAGCTGCACTGGCTCACGGTGGTCTTCTGGGTGTGCTTCAAGGTTTTGGTTACCACCTTTAGAGCGCTCCATGGCTTAGGGCCTGGTTATTTACGGGACCGCCTGCTGCTGCAAACGGCCTCCCACCGGCCGGTATGCTCTCACAGAGAGGGACACCTCCAGGTGCCGTCGGCCAAACAATGTCGGCTGGCGGCCCCCAGGGGGAGAGCCTTCTCTATGAGGGCACCTACTATCTGGAACGAGCTCCCCCCGGAGATACGGAGATCCTGGATCTACGCACCTTCCGCCGCGCTCTTAAGACCTTTTTATTTCACCAGGCTGGTCTGTCCTAACCTTTTCCATTCTTTTTTAAGGTAAATTTTAATTTGTTCTTAACCAGGGGTTTTAAATTGGTCTTGGGCTAAATTGATTTAATTCGATTTTACTTCTGCTCTTAATTTTTGTATTCTATGTGTTTTATTCTGTGCCTGTTCACTGCCCTGAGTCCTTTATTTAATACAAATTAAATAAAATGAAAAATGAAAAAAAAAAAAGATTGATCCATGGAATCTGCAGAATGGGACAACTTGCCGCAGCCAACTCGCTGTGGCCAACTGATCATGGCCAACTCGCCGCGGGACAGTTTAAAAATTCTATTCAATTATTTTTTTTTTTAAAAAAAAATATTTTAATTTTTGCCATTCACATTTCATTCCATCGTTTACTGATTCTATTCCACCGTTTCTTTGATATCGCCATAACGCTTGTCCCGCAGCGAGTCATCCCGGGGGCTGCAGCGAGCTGGCTGTAGGTGAGTAGGCTGCGGCAAATTGTCATTAACCCCGGAAGCCGAAGGAGGTGATGAAAACCCCAGATGCTCCCTGGTTGCCCTGACCAAATGAGCGACCATGGGAAGGTCTGTAGAGAGTCTCAGTCATCCAGGTCATGGTTGCCCCAAAGGTGCTTTTTTTAGGACTTTGGACCTACTTGTTTTTTCTTTTGAAGACGTTTCACTTCTCATCCAAGAAGCTTCTTCAGCTCCGACAAGATAGCGGAGAATGGAAGGATGATTTTTTTTTTTAAAAAAAAGAAAGCTAGCCTAAAGCAGAAAGGAGGGTAGAGCAAGGGGCGTTGGAAGGCTCCACAATTACCTTCCACCAAAGGTGGAGTGAGGTGGGGGCAGGTGAGATTCACCCATTTCCAGGGAACAGAAAGTTGAGCAGCCAAGTCCTTCTCTCCTCCACTCTTCCCTGGAAGGTGTTGGGTTTTCCGGAGGAGGGAGGTTGTTTCAGTGGTGAAATTCAATTTTTTTTTACTACCTGTTCTATGGGCATGGCTTGGTAGGTGTGGCAATGGAAGGATACTGCAAAATCCCCATTCCCACCCCACTCCTAGGGGAAGGATATTGCAAAATCTCCATTCCCACCTCACTCTGGGACCAGCCAGAGGTGATATTTGCCAGTTCTCCAAACTACTCAAAATTTCCGCTACCAGTTCTCTGAACTACTCAAAATTTCCGCTACCAGTTCTCTGAACTACTAAAGTTTCGTACCGGCCTGCTACGTACGGTTCTCTGAACTACTCAAAATTTCCACTAGGTTCTCTGAACTACTCAAAATTTCCGCTACCAATTCTTGAACTACTCAAAGTTTCCGCTACGGTTCTCTGAACTACTCAAAATTTCCGCTACCAGTTCTCTGAACTACTCAAAGTTTCCGCTACCGGTTCTCTGAACTACTCAAAATTTCCACTACTGGTTCTCTGAACTACTCAAAATTTCCGCTACCAATTCTCTGAACTACTCAAAGTTTCCGCTACCGGTTCTCTGAACTACTCAAAATTTACCGATTCTCCAGAACCTGCCAGAACCTGCTGGATTTCACCCCTGGGTTTTTTGTTCGCTGCACTCAAGTTGTTGGCTTTTCTCTGGCTCCCTGAACTGCTTTATATATATAAAAAGTCTTTTGATCTAGTTCCAGCTGCTTTAACAGGAAACTCAGTTCATCTCAGGAAACTTCCAACAGTTCTCTGAAATGATTTGGTTGAACCTTCTTCCTCATGCCAACCTAGGAGCATGGAAGTATGCAAATGCGAGTAGATAAATAGGTATCGTTTTGGCAGGAAGTTATTGTGTTCTGTATTTTCATGCTGGCCACATGATGACGGCAATGTTTCTCAGACAACACAGTCTCCCTGTTCTGTCTCCGTCCCACACACGGACCCCCACAGACGGCCCGGAGTTAATAAGCCACATGACAAAATCTTTGAAGATAAAACTGGCAGCAACCCAGTGGCTAGCTGCCAATTCAGACTTTACTCACACAAAACAAAGATTAGACTCAAGCATTCCGATAAAGCAGGCAAAGTTTCCGCAATACAAAGATTAGTCCAAATGCAGTCCGACAAGGCAGGCAGAAGTCTAGTAACGCAGAGATCATGGATTATTTCTAGTTTTTGCTCGTCACAAACTGAACCGGCCACCATACCCACATTTATACCCTGTGGGATGTGGTCCAGTGACTCAGCTAATCTCTGGCACGCCTTCCCCTCTGCTGCGCATGCTTCTCCCTGCGCCTCTGGCAAGGGTCCAGCCAGCACTTATCTCCTTCATCGCTGTCCACCCTGTGACCGGAGGCATTGCCAGAGAGGAGGGTCCTGGAGAGGGAGGCCTTGCCAACTCCTCTCCCTCACTCTCAGAGTCTGCATCTGTCAATAGCCCTGGCTCAGGCAACGGAGCTGCAACACTCCCTTGGCTGAGTTTCAGAGATGAGCACCTTCCCCTTGAGTTGGTCATGACTGGACAGGGGAAACCTTTAAGCCTTTTTCTTCCCTCCCTCCCTCCCTCCTTTCCTTCCTCCCTATATACAGATGGCTCTCTCACCCTGCAAGCCTTTAGAAAGACAGCTAAGGCTTGACTCTTTCCCCTGGCGCCTGGGCTACGGTTTCCATTCAATGAGTTACTCTGCAAAATATCTTTAATTCTAATTGTCATTTAATTGGCTTAGCTTCTTTTACTGGTTTGTATTGGAAATTGGTTTAGTGACCTTTATATGCCACCCAGAGTCATGCCATGTGAATTGGACGGCCGTATACATGCTATCACTCAATCAATCAATTATTTAATGATGGCATGTTCAAAGAGCTTTTCCTGAGAGTATTAAAGCAGAGTTGCCTAAGTTAGTTGGTTAGTTAGTTAGTTAGATAGATAGTTAATTTATAGGTTGCTCACCTCATATCTATTTAAGACTGTGCCTGGCTATTTGGCACCTGCAGATTCCCTTTGCTTTTCTCGGTACGGATCAGAGGTGGGTTTCAGCAGGTTCTGGAGAACCGGTAGCGGAAATTTTGAGTAGTTTGGAGAACTGGTAGTAAAAATTCTGACTGGCCCCACCCCCATCTATTCTCTACCTCCAGAGTCCCAGCTGATTGGGAGGAAATGGGGATTTTGCAGTAACCTTCCCCTGCCACTCCCACCAAGCCACGCCCAAAGAACCGGTAGTAAAAAAATTTGAACCCACCACTGGTATGGATGGAGAGAGAGAGAGAGAGAGAGGGAGAGAGAGAGAGAGATGGGGGGGAGAAGGATGATAGATAGACAAACAGACAGACACACAAGATATAGACCTTACTATATTCTTTACAAAAAGAGATGACAGACAGACAGACAGACAGACAAGATGTAGACCTTACTATATCCAAAAGAGAGGAGAGAGAGGGGGAGGGGGAGAGGGAGGGGAGAGAGAGAGAGAGAGAGAGGAAGAAAGATGATGGATAGACAGACAGACAGACAAGATATAAACCTTACTATATCCTCTACACAAAGGGATGACAGACAGACAGACAGAGATGTAGACTTTACTGTATCCAAAAGAGAGGAGAGAGGGAGGGGGGAGAGAGAGGGAGAGAGAGAGGATGATAGATAGACAAACAGACAAGATATAAACCTTTCTATATCCTCTACACCAGTGGTTCTCAACCTTCCTAATGCCGCGACCCTTTAATACAGTTCCTCATGTTGTGATGACCCCCAACTATAAAATTATTCCCAAAACCATTGAAAATATATGTTTTCCCGATGGTCTTAGGTGACCTCTGTGAAAGGGTCATTTGACCCCCCCAAAGGGGTCACGATCCACAGGTTGAGAACCACTGCTCTACACAAACAGATGACAGACAGAAGATAGATAGATAGATAGATAGATAGATAGATAGATAGATAGATAGATAGATAGATAGATAGATATAGATAGATAGAGATAGATAGAGAGATGCATGCTAGATGGATAGATAGATAGATAGATAGATAGATAGATAGATAGATAGATAGATAATAGATAGAGAGATGCATGCTAGATGGATAGATGGAGAGAGAGAGAGAGAGAGAGAGAGAGAGAGATGCATGCTAGATGGATAGATAGATAGATAGAAAGAAGATAGATGCATGCTAGATAGATAGATGGATAGATGGATAGATGGATAGATGGATGGATAGATAGATAGATAGATAGATAGATAGATAGATAGATAGATAGATAGATGCATGCAAGAGAGAGAGAGAGAGAGAGAGAGAGACAGAGAGAGAGAGAGAGAGAGAGAGGGAGAGAGGGGAGAGAGAGATAGAGAGGGAGAGAGAGAGGAAGAAAGATGACGGATAGACAGACAGAGAGACAAGATATAAACCTTACTATATCCTCTACACAAAGGGATGACAGACAGACAGACAGAGATGTAGACTTTACTGTATCCAAAAGAGAGGAGAGAGGGAGGGGAGAGAGAGAGGGAGAGAGAGAGGATGATAGATAGACAAACAGACAAGATATAAACCTTTCTATATCCTCTACACCAGTGGTTCTCAACCTTCCTAATGCCGCG